TTGATGTGAACGTTTCTAAGAAAGGTAAACTTGTATTTGCACCTTTGCATGTCTTAAGATTTCTGGGAAATGTAGAAACGTGTATTTTAAAATGTGCATAAAAAACCCATCAAAATAGAGAGAGAAAAAAAAACAGGATCCCTATTGAAAGCCAAGCACGGCAAAATTGAAAATGTTGCACACCCGGTTTGATCGAGACTGTTCATGGAAAGTATTGGAAATTGCAATATTCAAAGAAAGACTAGTATTTAACGCATTTAAAGAAATGGGAATTTGAAAATGTGTACGGGATAATGCATCAGAAATCTCTTTCTTTTTCAGAGGTCGACAAGAATTCAAAACCCAAGCTTACGTGATCTTAAGCCTGAAATTTTGTTATAAATTATAGACGCTTTGTTGACATTGGCACTTATAATGTACCATAAGCCATCATTTTACATGCAGATTTCATTTTTTTACCGGGGGTGGGGAGAGAGAGAGAGAATCGGGCAGTTTTAATATTTCAATTTTTAATATTTCGTGCCTGTTCCCAGGTCATTTTTTTTTTTTGAAAAATTGAAATTGAAAATATTGCAGGCACGTTCATGGACTGTAGTGGTGATTGCAAGCTATCGTCCATGCCCCCTAGCACCGGCTTAAGCAGATGTCAACATTTAAAAAACGAATGATATTTTTAGGGTTATATGACCTTTACACTGTTGATGCGACGTCAAACCCAACTAAATACAAAAGAGTACAATTTATTGTTTTTTTTTTTCTTTTTTTACTAAGATAATAAACAGAATGTACGGAATGAAGCTCTTAAAATATGATGAACAAGATTAACAAAGAAAGACGGCGTTCAATGAACGCAATCCTCAAACGACCTAGCAAAAAGAACCAGCGGCGAGGAGCCCTGGAGGACCATAAACCATTGGACATTGTCTGGAAGGAAAATCGCACGAAAGGACAACGCTAAATAAAGTTTTCGCAGAAGATGTTTAAAAATGCAGTGGTGTCGTCAGAAGCATATTCTGTTTATTCTGTTTCTGGATATCTTCGTTCTGATATTCATAGAAAAGATATTGAAGCTCTTGTAAGGTTTTTCATATTAATGAAATTACATAATTATAGGTAAAAATAGGTAAACAGGAAAATGTATCACTATGTGAAGAATATGTTCTGATTGTCTGAACCAAAGCAGTGTATCTGTTACGACAGTGTCTTCCAAACTGAAAAATCCGGTCTAGTTATTTCTGTAATTGGTATACGAATGGAACAACAATTAACGATTTTTGTTCTTTGATAAAGAATTTTGAATATCCTGTCAATATTGTTTTTCCGGTTGTTAAATAGTATAAATTGTTGACCGTGATTATCGACGTGCGTGTAAAACAACTTTTCTTTCTATTTGAATATATCATTGCATTGATATTGATGTGTATGTGGGCCGGAGGCCTTTTTATAAGTCAAGTACCTTTCAAGACCTATATTTTCCAATTCCTCTTGTCCTTATAAGACTGCTAATAATAATAAATGCTTATTACTACATGGTACTCCCGAGCAATCAAATATGACAAACAATTTTAAGATCAACAAATATTCAATTAATGCATGACACATGACTACCGGCAGTAGGACACACAAACACACACAAAAAAAAACATGACAGGGCACAAAGAAAAGCAAGGACGTGGTGTTCATTTGAATAATTCAGAATAGGAAATGATAAAAACTGACAAGGAAATTAAAGAAGACGATTAATTAATAGGCTTCTAAAGTAAAAAAAGTTGTAGCGGAAGGGGCTTGAGGGCCTCGGAAGTGTGGGGGCGCAAATTAAAAAAAAAACTAGAAGGAAATGGAAGATACTCATCGTACACGTGAAAAAACTAGAAAGGACGAAAAGGTGTCACCATAATAGCATGCAGCGATAAACAAGACATACATCTGAGGGACATAGAGGGGCGCCGCCTTGGAACGGTCAGCATCATATGCACTAGTTGTGAGTTTAAAGCGGTTATTAACTGAGAGGTGTTTGTCAGCAAAACTATGTAAGAAGTAGTTAAGTGCTTTGTTAATAAAGATAAAAGTTTACAGATATTATAGTGCAAGGTTAAAAGATAAAATCATACTTGTGGGGACTTGAAAGGGGTTGTTATCACCAGTCTATCCTTAAATATATTTAGGACTGGGACTGGATTTAACCTGGTATGGGAGATTATTCCTGTACCTACAGTTCAGGGAAGTGTAGGAGCTTATAGGTGATACTGAGCACGGGACTGGAGGATCAGGATGTTCAAATTTCTAGTTGGGATGAATTAGTTATCAACATTTACAAGATTTACTGTATTTGGTAAAGGAATATGATAGAAGATTGGAATCTACGGCTTTTTAGGGAGGGCCATTTAAGATTTCCTAACATCTGAGTCATACTGATTTGAAATTCATAGTTGTTACATACATGTACATATCTTGTCGCAGCTCTTTTCACACTTTCAGCTATGTAAGTTAAATGTTTCTGCCACGGGTGCCATATAAAAATCTAGAAAATTTACTTTAAAAATACTCTAGTTGAGGTCTTACATAGGAAACAAAGGTTGAGGTTTTGATTTGTCTGTTTTGAGAGGACGAATCTTAAAGAGTTCTTTGTCTTGGAGGTGATGTTATTTATGTGTGATCCAGTTTATATCTTAAGAGATGGTAAAAAAAAATCTGGAAAAAAGTGATCCCTCAGAAGCATTAATCACAACAAAATTACAAGAGAATTGCAGACTCGGTTTGATTGAGTCTGTACATGAGGGATACTGAATAAGTGCAACATCCCTCACGCCCCCTATCACCGGCTTGAGCGGTACTCAATTCTCAACACTTAATAGTGCTGGCATCAATGATTATGTTCATGTAATTTTGTTGTGATTGATAATTCTGAGGAATCACTTTGTTTCCAGATTTTTATTTTTTTATAACAGTGACATAATAATTTCCTTTAGGGTTATTAATCTTGAAAAATGAAAACTTTAAGATATTAATAATGCGTTATTAAAATTTTACGAACATGTCGTGTTTAGGTAAGTGAACTCAATTTCTAACACCAACATCTACGTAGTCGGTAGGCAATTATTTTTTATAAATACTTGATTAATATGCAAAAATAATCAAATAATATATTAGACACTGACTGAACATTATAAACTTTGCGTACTTTCTGATATTATTCTCGTTATTTTGGACAAATTTAAAACTCAGTTCATGTGTAAAAAAAGCTTAGTAAGTTCTTAGGTAAAATAAACTTCGCACTAGAAAATGTAATGAGATCTGCATGAATGCAGTGTAAAATGTTTTGTGGAAAGAAGTAGTGTTAAACAGAACTTAAATATCTGATCAATTTAACTAGAAAGTTAAAGAACTATTCTGTACATTTTATTTTAGAACTATCCTTTTATTTTGATAATGGCAAGAACTATCCTTTACATTTTATTTTAGAATGGCCAATGAGATTTTTAATTTTAAAATGACCAATAAAAACTCTTCTTATATTCAGTAAGTGTTCTTTCCTATGAATGTTACAGGAAGACCGGCCTTCTGTCGAAAAAAGTATAGGTCAGTCCTGTTAACATTGAAAAGGGAAGTAATCATCGTTGGAGGCATTTTGCGAAAAAATCTGTCAACCCTACTTTATTAAAAGATTATTTTTAATGTGTAAGGCATGTCATTCTCCTAGAAAAAAAAATCACATTTTTAGCATGAATACTCGATTTTAAGATAGGTTTATGTGTTATTTCTTATAATGTGTCTATGGGAAAATTACTACAATCGTTTAAAATTTGGTGGTGGTAAACCTGATTAATTTCGGAAAATCCACTTTTACACTAACCTAAATTTTGATTGGTTAACAGAAATGAATCTATCCAATGAAAAGGGGTATTCTTTAACATCGCCGCCGTGGAAGGCATTGTTCTTGGCGAAAATGTAAATAATCGCCACTTTGTCGGAAGAAAATTTATATATGAATTACTGAAATCAACAAATATTTTGTGGAACTATATATTAGAGTTAGTTCACTTTGATTATTTATAGCAGAAGTGGAGGGAATATAATAAATGATCAAGATTTTTTCATGTTAGTTCATAAAACGAGTTTTTATGTTTGATTTTTAAGATTAACTAATAACTAAGTGTTGTTTTAACAATCTGGAATACACATACATAGGATGATGGCACAACAAGCTGTGGATTCCATGAAATCTGCTGTAAGTGACAGGAAATTGTTGTCTGAAACAATTTAAAGATAATTTATGTTTATAAGTAAAAGGTTGTGACCTCATTTTCGTCACGTGGTTTTTGTGTCGCATGATTTCGGTATAGATGGATACCGAAAATAAGCTATTTTCGCGAAAATAAGATCGCGGCTACGAAAATAAGATTCATTTTTGAAATAGTGCATTTATCTGTTGAAATAATTATATTATTTTTGATAAATTGTATTGAAAACGTATTGTTGTTATCAAATGATTTGTATGAATGAAATAATAAAGAATGAAATGTTTTGTAATGAAATATAAGACGTTTGTTCGCTACATAGGTAAATATCCCAAATAGTATAGTGGGAAGGCATGCGAAAATTCACTATTTTAAATTATTTTTTTGGTTCTGAAATTTATTATTTCATTCATACAAATCAACTATTAACAACAGAAATACGTTTTTAATACATTATATCAAAATTAAATCTTATTTTCGTAGACCCGATCTTATTTTCGCTTTACACGGCAATTTGAGCTATTTTCGTATGATAGTATTTTTCGGCTCAAACTTCACTTTTTAAAAAATTTTTTTTACTCTGAAATTTTAATTTGCTGTAAAATCATTCAATGAATGCATAAATATATAACTAACATAATTATTTCAACAGACAAACGCACTATTTCATAAATAAATCTTATTTTCGTAGCCGCAATCTTATTTTCGCGAAAACAGCTTATTTTCGGTATCCATCTATACCCGCATGATTTGATTGGTTTGATGATTTCTTGAAAGAACCGCCACAAACAAAAATGGTAGTTTTCAGAAGAAAATGTTGAAAATGTTAGGATATTTTTAAGCTAATACTAAGGAAAATCTGGTTTTAGTATTCACTTCTTCAAGATTGCACTTAAGACTTTATTCAGTCGTCGTAAGATGTCATCATCAGCTCCATTAAAGGTATAATAATGATAATTTAATACCCAGAGCACATTTAAATATGGCTAACATTATGTTAGCAGTCATTAGAGTGATTTTGTAGAGAAATAATATTGGGTAAAATCATAATTTATGTTAAAACAGGGTCTTCCAAATCTATTTGAAAGACCAAATGTATTTGAAAGACCCAGGTTTAGCTGCAGACGGATAAAGTCTAGCAAGAATCCGGGTCAGCTCGGCCCTAAAACATACTCGGCCCCGAGTCAGCTCGGCCCTATTCCAACTCGGCACGGGTCGACTCGGCCCACTTTTAAAAATGGGTAAAAGACATCAAAGGACTCCTATTGTCACGGGCTATTATTATCAATCAATATGTATGTTAAGGATACCGATTAATTAGGTGATAATTATGATTCATTCAAATTTGATAAGTGACCACCTGCAATTAATTAGAAGCTTATGCTATAAAGTAAACATGTTTTTGTTTCATGTTTTTGAAAATTACTGTACAAACAAAATGCATCTAAGGAAAAACATTTTTATTATATCTATATTCACAGGCACAAGTATCGGACCTGGAAAAAAAAAATATGAAGTTATTTTATCAATCTGTTTTATTTTTATATTTTTTCTTCCCAGGTCTGATAATCGTGCCTGTGTCTATATTAATTTTATCGAATCTGCAAGACAAATAAATAACTTTTTTTCTAAATATACTTTATTTCGGCAGAGGTACAATGTATAATTACATAATAATAATAAGATATTTCTTATTATTCATTTACCTTAACAACATGCAAGGCAAAGTAAATATGTTATAGGCCTATATATTTTTGTAAAGTGGGCCGAGTTGACTCTTTTCCGTCTAGCAATATCAGTTTGTGCATGCCTTTCACTGTTCACATAACAAAATGGCAATCTGGATTAGACCCCTATGTATTTTTCAGGCGTAAAACTAGTATATAATACACTAAAGAAAACGGAATGAACCTAATATATACTCCTGGTTTAGACCCCGGGGTCTAATCCAGGATATAGCCAACAAAATCATATCAGTTTTTTTTAAGTTATCATCACACAAAAATGTAAACTAATATAACATATATATCCATGTTTCTTGTAATATCTTGTATCTGTCATTGTTCATTAGATCAGGGTCTTTAAATAGAATGGTCCGGAAATGCGCTATGTAAACTAAACCCTTCTCCATACAATAATTAAACATGTCTCGGTATAGTTTGCCTTATGCAAATTAGGTAATTGTTCAAGAAAAGGGCGAAAATTAAATACAAGAGCAAAAATGAAAATTCTAACGCCATGATGTTCTTTAAAAATCTTTAAACTTTTAAAAAAGGGATAAATATTTCAGAAAATAATGTTTTTAAAGCCATATCTGTTGAGAAACATAGCTTGCTTGTTCAGAAAATTTGCAAATAAACGGGGCCATTTTGAAAATGCACCAAATTAAACAACAAATATTTGTAAATAACATCATGAAATAGTATAAACTTTTTACATGATATGATTAAATAACATTTTTTCCCTGTAAAAATTAAAATCAATTTTTATTTTCCCATTGAGCAATTCATGAATTTAAAAAAAGCTCATAAAACTCAGACCTACTTTCAAATATGAGCAGTAAATTTTTACCTAGACACCGGGAACGAAAAAATCCTAATGTTATTGCAAATCTATAAAATTGTTACTTTTAAAGAAAAAACTAATACTGTAATGTAGCCAGTATTAGTTTTTAGTATTTTTTTGATTGATTTAACAAAACATTATCTTATATTAATTTGATTTTTGAAGGGTGATGTACTATGCTAGATCACGGTCAGTTGATAACCTAATCACGTGATTCAACTGAGACATCTTTTTTCGTAGACCATTCTATTTGAAAGACCCTGGTTAGATCTATATCTTAAAGAGGTATTATTTGTCTGTAGGACAGGCACAGAAATGTAGGGTGGTGCTAGCTAGAGACTTAAGCAAAAAACTTTTATAGATATACTGTGCTCCTCTTAGTTCATGGTACTTAAAAATTTGAAACAAGAAGTAAAAGTAAAACAAACAATAAACATAAGCAAGGCTCACACGGGCTCAAATAAAATAATAGCCAAATGTTCAGTGGACTATTCACGATTTAGCAATTAACAACATAAGCAGTTGATTAAATAAACATTAGATCTACTTGTCAAACTTTTTCCAGTTTTAAAACTTTTGTAAGGATTTTCAAATATATATATGATGATTTGTAATCATATCTAAGAATCTTGTAGATGAAATCCAAACTGTTAGTGTTTTTTTTACACTGTATAAATGCAAGTCATTTTTTTTCTTCTCTATTTTAGGCTCTCTTTGACAAAATGAATCAAAATGGAGGGGAAACACTTGGTGCACCACCACCCAAGCAAAAGAAGAAAGCAGCTGTTGCTAAAGAAAATGAAAATATGGACGAGTTTTTTATTCCTGAAAGTGGTGCTGGTGAAGGAAAGGCATCAAAGAAAAGATTGTCCATAGAAAGAATATATCAGAAAAAGACCCAGCTGGAGCATATCTTGTTACGTCCTGACACCTACATTGGATCTGTGGAGAGTGTTACTCAGGTAATATTGCAATGATGAAAGGTATAATATATAGGAAACAAAGTAAGAGTGAAAATTATTTTCCTGAAAAAAATTCAGGGAGTATATACAAACTTATGTACTTGTACTACATATTGAAAATGGGTTTAACAATTTGTTTTGAAATGAGCATGGACAATTCTTACACTTCGAAATTTATTGCCAGTGTTATCCAAATAAAGGTGACTATGTTTTTCCTTACCAAGCAAACTGAGTAAAATGGAGAGAGACAAGGTGACTATTTTGCCCAAGTCACTTACAAAAAAATGTTCCCTGTTACGTATTTTGCAATGTACTATTAAATTAATAAGTGTAGTATATTGAAAAGGTGAAGTTTTGGGGAGCATTCCAGTGTTTCTGCCAGCTCTGATTTTCTGAGGGTCTTTTATGACCCCCTGTATGATATTTTAGGGGTCATTTCAAATTCATAAGGGTCATGCCAATAAATTTAACAAAAATGTAAAAAAAAAACAGGTAACACTTTATAAGTTTTATTTACAATATTTTGTATATTTTTCGTGAAGAAATTGGTCAATCTCTGCTATTTTGGATTATTTGTCATCCAATAATAACGCTGTATTTCTTAAAAATTATGTGTGTTAATTTTCATAGAAGAAAGAAAGTCGATACTATATTGAAATTCGTTCATAGTCGCCTTCTATTTTTCATAGTGCTTCATAGTACCGCCTAGTGACGTAATCAAAGGCCAAATAAAGCTTGACACTAAATATGTTAGTGTTCATCCTTAGCTGTTTTACAGAAATTAGAAACATTCTCCTGTCGCTATCGCTCCCTTCGAAGTTTCTAATTTCTGTAGAACAGCACAGATTAACACTAACATATACGCAGACTGCATTTTCCAGCAGACAGTTATTCGTTCGCAGAATATGACGACAACAAAATAAATAATTTTGTCTGGGCGCTTTCAATATATGCAGTAACGTATAAATGCAAGCGTTTATTAACTAGTTGAAATTGGCTAAATGCCGGACCACGGACCCGGTAAATTTCATTTCTCATTAAAATTATAGTGGAGCCCACGGTAAACATTCCGTACATTTTTATACTGAATTGACGGTTTATAGTCTGTATATCTGACTTGTGTTGAAATCAGCGACGGTGAAATTCTTGCGTCACAAAATACGCACTAACTAAATTTCATTGCGTCATGGCTGAAAATAGTGCGCCAAAAACGCAAAAACGCGCCCTGGCAGAAACACTGGCATTCATTGCCTTTGGCAATATGAAAGTCTGAATTTAAGCTTTCATAATTTATATGCTATGAATGTATGAAATGAATCAAGACTTATTGGAAATGGCAAAAATGAAAATTTGTTGAACTAAATAGCAATTTTTATATACCTGATTTGATCGGCTAAAATAAACAAATTTTGATAGATTTCTTAAAATACTGGTTCATAAAAAGTATAAGTATCTTTTTGCATATAATATGAGTTGTTTTCTCATTTTGACTTCCAGCCAATGTGGGTATTGAATGAAGATATGGACCTTATGATACAAAGGGATATAACATATGTTCCAGGATTATACAAAATATTTGATGAAATATTAGGTAAATTGTCTTATATATGTGCAAGTAAGTTTTAAACAGGTAAAATATTAAAATGAGGGCTATCTCAAAAGTTTGCGATAATTTTTATAGATGGACTTTTTTAATGCCAGTACATCATACCGGTAATTCAATCACTGTATTAAACAATTAGTATGTTATGTAATATGTTGTTTCAGTTTCAAAATATATAAACAATAATTGATGATGTATATTTTAGTAAATGCTGCTGATAATAAGCAACGAGATCCAAAGATGAACTGCATTAAAATTGATATTGACCCGTAAGTACTTGATATCTTTCAATGATAATATTAACTTGAGTTGCATACCCATAACCTGTACTTTGACACTATACATTAACTTTTTATATTACAGGTACATACCTTTTCAAAAAGTGCCTGTATTTTTAACAGTACTGTCAATTTAAAGAACAAAAACAAGAAACAGAAAAACAAAAGAAAACACAAGCTGAATGTAAATTTCAGCTCATTAGAAATACATTGACAAAGATGTTGGTTTTCCTGAGCAAAATTGTTCCGTTGAATTTGGCCGTTTAAACTTAACATTCCAAATTATGATATTATTTGTTATATCTTTGTCCAACTTCAGATTATGAAAATTTGTTTGTTGATTTCAGGGCAGCAAATAAGATACGAGTATGGAATAATGGAAGGGGTATCCCAGTGGTAGAACATAAGGAACACAATATGTTTGTACCAACAATGATCTTTGGACATCTTCTTACATCTAGCAACTATGATGACTCAGAGAAGAAAGTGACAGGTGTGTTTTAGTTCATCTGAGCACAACGTGTTCATGGTGAGCTATTGTGATCCCCCAACGTCCATCGTCGTGCGTCGTCAGCAATTTCTTTAAACAACATCTCAAAAACCAATGACTGCACAGTAACCAAACTTTACAGGAATGAGCCTTGGGTGGTCCCCTGCCAAAGTTGTTCAAATGGTTCCTGTCTGTTGCAGAAGTAGGTCATGGGGCTAGGAAAGGAGTTTAAAAAATGCTAACTTAAAAAATCTTCTTGTCTGAAAGTAAAAGGCCTAGAGCTTTGATATCTGGTATATGATATCATTATAGGTCCTCTACCAAAGTTGTTCACATTATAGCCCTGGGGTCAAAATTGGTCCCACCCAGGGGGTCATATGTTTTCCTTATATATATGTATATAGTAAAAACTGAAAAAATCCTCTTGTTTGAAGGTACAAGGCTTAGAGCTTAGATATTTGGTAAAAACTTAAAAAACCTCTGAATTGACAAAGGCATGAGGTTAGATATTTGACATGAAGCATTGTGTAGTGGAACTCTACCTAGATTGTTCAAATTATAGCCCCCCTAGGGTCAAAATTGGCCCCGCCCTGGGTCAAAGGTTTTCCTTATATGTATATAGTAAAAACTGTTCCTATCCACAAACTTTTACCTTGATCATAACTTTAAAATTCTTGGTGTATTGTCTTAAAACATCAACTTCTTACCTACACAAAAAAATTAACCATATTTTGTACATTTTTAAGACCTGGTAACTTCACTTTTGTATATCAATCGCATTTAATAATCAGGTGAGCGCATTGGGGCCAATGGCCCCCTTGTAATCAAACACTTCAAAATGAGGCCCTTTTATTTTTAGTTTAATATGTCTCCAAACTTAGTTGCTATTATTGTGTGAATTTTGTCATTGAACCGTTTTCATATTATTAGATGATTATAGCTCAAAAGTTTATATATTTATCTAAGCACAAATTTTCTAATACTAAATGTGTTTTGTCTTAGAAGATAAATATGCAATACTTGTATGCTGTGAAGTAGGAAAGATATAATTTTGTTGAATTTAGGTGGCAGAAATGGCTATGGAGCTAAGTTGTGTAATATATTTAGCAAGAAATTTGTAGTGGAGACTTCATACAAAGAATACAAAAAAGGATTTAGACAGGTAAATATATAACCATTTAATTTATTAACAGTCAGTGGTTACTTTCAGAGATTTTTTGTCAACCTTTTTGAAATGGATGTGGGTCTTGCATGTCTATACAAATTAATATGGTGAGCTATTTTACTCAACCCAGCTTTCATATTCCTTATGAAAGTTTATGTGCAGCGATAATATTTTGTCTCCACTTTCAAGAAATCAAGGAAACTATTGTCATTAATCTATGTTGGCATAAGTGTTGATTTAATTTGTTTTGTTAACTATCACAAAGATATTCACTCTAAAGGGCATTTGTGGCCTAATGATTATGGTTGTTAACTTCGAACAAGATTCCCCGCACCAATTAGGGATAGAATCCTGCTGGAGGCTTGGATATTTTTATGTGAAGAAGCTAGCTTACAAAGATTGAACTTCCTCTAATAGTAAAGCTGGAAAGTCACTTAATGACCTTTGGAGTGTTAGTTTGACTTTTTACATGACCCAGCACAACAAACAATTGTCTTTAAACTTGAAATACCTGTTAACTATCAAAAATGGGAATGTATATCTAAAGGTCAATTGCTGCTATACTGATACTCTAAAACCAATAATTTTATGATATAATACATTCTTACATTGTTGATTTTTGATAAGCTATATGAAATGGTAGAATACGTTTTAGAAAAGAAATTGTGTCCATGACAAGTGATTTTTATACTTTTTTCGCAACAGCCCATACCCCTGAAATTGTGAATTTTTAGTGCACTAATCTGTCAAATTGTGGAAAAAATAAACAAAAAGAAATTATCACCTGTTTTCACTTTATTCATACATTTAGTAATGATGTTTATAGTGCAATCTTTATTTTTATTTTATTTTTATTCCCTTAAATATTTCAACCAAATTCACAAGATTGTCATTTGTCCGTTCATCATTTTTGAGGTACCAAACAACAAGCGCGCTAATTGTGAATTTTCTTCACATTTTTGTGAATTTTTTTTTATTATTATTTTTTTTGCATTTGTGAAGAAGTTAAAATTTTGGGGTCAATATCAAGCAAAGAAACGATCATTGCATGATATTGATTATGCTCTTGATAATAATAATGCCTGGTTTAATTATAGTTTGAATCCTGTTGTGATTTATAGAAGAGATGTAAAGTTGATTCACACAATTGAAACACTAGCACTATGGAACATTATTTTGTAGACATGGCAAGATAACATGGGAAAAACAAAGGAGCCAAGTATAACTGATGCAAAAGAGGAAGACTTTACAGCTATCACATTTTATCCTGATCTTGAAAAGTTTCGAATGGAAACACTTGACAAAGATACAGTAGATCTTTTCACAAGGAGAGCCTATGATATTGCTGCAGCCTCAAGAGATGTGAAAGTTATTTTAAATGGCAAGAGAATACCAGTAAGAATATTGATTTTGTTATTAGTTTTTTAACCTTACTATATATGAAATACATAGAGCTGTCCTACCTGCCCTAAAATTTGTGTCCAGATTTTGAAGTTTTTTTTTGCAGTAAAATATTATTTTTTTCATTTTTTTTCTATAACCACATTATTTATTGGGTGATTTAAACATAAAAATGCATGTTTCTATCATCATCCACATTATAATATAGCAATGTTCATAACTAGCTCACTAAAATTTTCTTCCCTTTAAACTTAAAATTTTCATGAAGATTATTATATCAAATTATAACTTCTATATATCTAGAAGGATATTCTTCAAACATAAGTTATGTATCATCACACTTAAAGATATACTTTGTTCATCCTTGAGTAAAATATTTATCAAAGAAATTTATTAAAATCAATAAATTCTTACTGAATAAGAATTTGCCGATTAAATAAACTATGTATGGGAACTGAACTGCCAGTTTTTTTTTTTTAATCACACTATACATTCATATTTGACTACGTATATTGTGTAGAGTTTAAAACATAACATAGATCTACTTTGTGTAAAGTCAAAACATGTTTATTTTATATTTATAAAGACACTGTGAAGCAATTTTCAATATTTTCTAATATCAAATTTGAGCATAGTATATCACTGATATAAATTATTTGTGCTCAAGGACTGATGTGTTATTGTAGACCACTGAAATAGTCCATGGGTTACCCGTTACTAGTCTTATGAATACAATGGGGGAAAAAGATGTTGAATTATTGAAATGCATTTGGCACTTTTTTCCTGATTAAATTTTCTCCCCCTATATCAGAAGCTGAAGTAGGAATTCAATATTATGAGGAGCTGGTATAATGGGATTATTATCATAATCATTGTAATCAGTTAAAGGATTTATGACTTTCCTATTATAATATAATATTTACATGTCAAAAATTATTTTTCTTGGCTTTATGTCTGAATTTCTCATATATTTTTTTGTTTACAGGTTAAAAACTTTCGAGATTATGTGAGCTTGTTTATAAAGGACAAAGTTGATGAAGCTGGTGCCCCAATAAAACTTGTACATGAGATAGTTAGTCCTAGATGGGAAGTGGCCGTCACAATGAGTGATAAAGGTTTTCAACAAGCTAGCTTTGTTAATAGCATTGCTACAACAAAGGTATGATATAAACTTGAATCTATATCCGCTTTTCCAAGAAACTAAAATTAAGGTGCAGTGTGTGTGTAGATATTCTATTTTTATGCAAATAACAATGTAATGTGTGTTTGCCAGGACAGAATATGTACTAATAGGACTATTTCAAGATGATAAATGCTATCGTAATGTTTAAACTTCGGACATAATTTGTTTCTGTGAAATTGCAAACTCCTATTTGTTAGCTTTTTGACTGAATCCACTGAAGAGTATACAATGTAACTTGATTTGATTTTATAATAGAGAATTTTCACTTATGAATGTTATTTTTTATTGAAAATTTGTGGATATAATTAGATATTTCCTTAAGGCTGCACTCAATTTTATTTCAACCACACATTCAAGGATAAGTTTCCATAGTGAGAGAGGCATTGTTTGCAAAGTCAACATGGTATTTGTATCACAAACTTAAATTTCATTAACTATTACATATCTAAAATGATTGAAAATAAGCAGTGATATATAGGTAGGGCCATCATGGGAATTCGCGTTATTGATGTATTATCAAGTCTCAAGACTCAACAGTCAATTTGATATTGATGCATAATTTCGATAATTGATTCAAATAAGGTGTCAAATAGCAATGACTAAAATATACAATCATTTCAAATTAATATCCTTACAAGTTTGTCATTTACAATTGAAATTTTAATCTCCTACCTAAAGCAAAACATGCAGCCATTACTGTTTACACTTTTATCGCATGTGTCAATCTAATGACATCAGGCCAAGAAGTACCAAATTTAGAAATTGAAAATTCTGGGAATAAATGCTAGATTCGCAGTGTGGTATGTTTATTTACCCGAATTTAGTGTTCTATCATTTGTAAATGACAACAGTAACAATTAATTAATAGGCTTTATAACTTGCATAGCAACACGGCAGCTACTTCACCAGAAATTGCCAAACTGAAACTGACTTCTAAATAATTCAGTCAAAAAACTTATTACGTACAGATGTTTAAATTTCATTATTTTGTCATGCTTCAAAAATAAAATTTAGGTTTTTACTTAAATTTGATAATAATAGATAGTTTTTTCATTTGCATTGGCCTACATCAAAACAAGAGAAAAAACAAAACAATAAAAAATGTACATGCACCCATTACGAATGTGAACGCTTGTAAAACTTGGTTTCGGTAGGTGTAAATATTGGTTTTTGGTACGGATTAGTGATTCTCACAACATGAATCATTTCTTGAATGATCACGCATGACACAATAAAAACAAGATGAGTGGTCCTAAAGACAAAGATAAGTGTATTTTCGCCAGTAAAGGGCTAACAGACGATAAATATTCACTTTGGCTTAAGGAGTTAAGTCAGACAAGCATAAGTGTTTATGTACGTTCTGTTATCTACGTTCAGTGCAGGCAGTTTGTATGAAATTGAATTTGTTAGCCAAGCAAATGTAGAGATCTGAAAGGAATTGCAATCTAAATGTATATAGGCAGATAAATCTATCGACATTTCAAGTGACTGGAAACTGTTTTGTTCTGTGTAAATGCAAATAAGTCTTGTTAAAGGTAGTTTTTCAGAAATATAACTGTTTTAAAACTTTTGTACCATCATTATGAAGAGCCTGAATGGTCATCAAGACTTGAATAGTCCTTGAAAATTGATAAAAGGCCTTGAAAAGTCATATGAACCATGTATCAATGACAGCCCTATATATAGGTGAGAAATTAAGGCCATTAGGACCCTGTTGTTCCTGTTAATTGAATACATTCATTACATTGTTATCAGAATAAATATCTGTGTTGCAGGGAGGAAGACATGTTGATCATGTAGCTGACCAAGTTGTTAAGAAGTTAATTGAGGTTGTGAGTAAGAAAAACAAGGGAGGAATTCAGATTAAACCATTCCAGGTAATTTTAACATGATTATTTAAAATGAGCTAATATTTTCCATTTAAAAAAAGGCCCAGGAATCAGATTGGTATCTCATAGGACATGGTTACATAATGGTCAAAGACCAAATAGAATTTTTTTCATTTGTGGTCTAAATTTGTCATTCTTTTATTGTTTAAATTACTTGGCACAAATGCTCAGCGTTATTGTCCAACATAACCTTTTTGGACATATGTGACCTAAAGTGTTCATATTCTAAAAGCACTGACACTTCACAAATTTTATGACCAGTTTAAAAGGTCATAATGCTTAGTTACCATTTTCAGAGTTTATTACCTCAGCAAGTCAAATGATGTAGTAAAATTATGTTTGGTTTAGTTTTTGGATAGGCACTGTTAGTGCCTGATGTGAAGTCTCCAGCTAAAATATAGGCTCTTGTGTCATCATTGATTAGGAATAATAATGGCTAGCTATGTTGTTTTGTTTTTTTTTTCAGGTGAAGAATCATTTATGGTTATTTGTCAACTGTCTTATTGAGAATCCAACATTTGACTCTCAGACCAAGGAGAATATGACATTGCAGGCAAAATCATTTGGCTCAAAGTGTCAATTGTCAGAGAAATTTATCACACAGGTAAGCTGCTAGTATCGAATTCTGTAGTGTAATGTGAAATTATTACATTATATGTATTGATGATATGATAAGTTTAGGGAGAACTGCTTTAGACACACCTTTTACATTAAAAGTTGCATGAAAAATATTTTCAAGATGTGAATGCCACATGGGAAATATTGAATAAGTTAGAAAAGAAATTACAGATTTTTTTATGAATACAGTATTATCGTCCACAATACAGTGAATTATTTCATTATCTTATGACAGGTTAGTAAGTGTGGTATTGTTGAAAGTATACAAAGTTGGATGAAGTTTAAGGCCCAATCACAGCTTAAGAAAGTTAGTGGTAACAAACAGAACAAGTTGAAGGGTATACCAAAACTTGATGATGCTAATGACGCTGGAACAAAACACTCGCTTGATTGTACTCTAATCTTGACAGAAGGAGATTCAGCCAAAACACTGGCTGTTGCTGGTATGTCTATTCATTATTTACAGTGTTGGTTCTGGATTATTCTAGTTTGACAAGCATCAATAAAAGTTAGAATGATACAGTTGTAAGTATGGCCTGTACAAGGTGAAATTTTAGGGTACAAATATTTAAGATATTGCAGGTTCTTTAGCTCTTCCTGAGATTAGCTTACAGCTTTATTTTATTTCTTAAAAAATTCCCATATACAGTCAAACGTGTATTAAGCGACCGGGCAAGGGAAACACCCAAAACGGTCGCTTAATGAAACGGTCTCTTAAGACAGTCAGCATGATATAAAAGTCAGAATTTATTATTAATGAAATCTTTTTTTATTCGGTGGGATTGTTTTTCAACTTCATTTTTATATAAATATTGAATAATAAGTATGCTCCGATAATCTAAATGGATGAAAATGTAAAAAATAACTTTCTGATATTTATTGACAAAACAGTTTTGATCCATTACGTACATGTTTTACATAACTCCAGAATTTTTTAACTTCTCTGTTGTTTTTCCTTGTCTCCAACACGAAAACCCTATTAGTGAAGATGTTTACTGTTGTGCATTTTTTCATTTGAAATAAACAAACTACATCTATTTGTTACGATTAATTTAATGGCTGATCAAGTTCAAGGTCAATTCAATGCAGTCTAAATGTCAACAAGCGAAGCGTATACACCATCTCAGTATGGGCGGGGTGTTGCATTGTTTATCCGATATTATTGGATAATACACGTCACACGCATACTTATCTCCATTTGCATACGCTAAAACGGTATGGGAAATAGAGTTTTTCACACGGTTATTGTTGTGTATTGATTGTTGACACTTGTGACATAACGAGTAGGCGTTCTCTAAAAACACAATTACTTGACAGGTAAAAGTGGTCGTTTAATGAAAAGCTTTATCTCAATTAGGTGACTAATTAGCGGTCGCTGGTCGCGTTGAGCAACAGTCGCTTAATACATTAAAGATATAGAGAGAAAATGATCGGGGGGAATTTAAAGTGGTCGTTTAAGACAAAAGTCGCTTAATACACGTGGTCGCATGGGCAAGTTAGACTGTATTAAATTTCTCACTTTGAATACTAACTCTTGTTCATTATCAAAATGACCCATTTCAAAAGGGGAAAAAAAACAGTTGTTCATTTGCAGAGCAATAGCCTCCCTAAGATATATTTTTTGGTAAAGTCTTATGCTAAGGTCTGTTTCACAAATATCCAACATATTAACTAATATATCTAAAATGTTAACATAAAAACATGCACTTTTTTTGTTATCAATAAGTGTCATAGTGAACAATTTAACATAATGAAATGTGTTTAATATATGAAATATTGTACAGAAATATACCTGATATGTAATCAGTAAAAACACATGTCCTACTTTAGTTTTGAGATTTGTTGTAACTAAGTATGGTTTTTGCATGTTTACAGGACTAGGTGTTGTTGGGCGTGACAGGTATGGTGTATTTCCACTACGAGGAAAAGTTCTCAATGTAAGGGAAGCCTCTCACAAACAAGTAAGTTTCTTTTATTTAATATGGCAATAAATTTTGCTTTAGATAGCTATACAGTGTCAATTACATGTAACTTGAAAAAGAGAATAGTTTTTTTTTCTATGTCAAACAACAATTTGAGTCAGTTGTGGCCTGGTAGTTTAGAGATGCTGGTTTTGAAAATTTTAAATATGTTGAAATGTATCTGTATTGTTTGATTCCAGATAATGGAAAATGCAGAAATCAACAATGTGGTGAAAATAATGGGTCTACAGTTTAACAAGAAGTATGAGGAGATAGATCAGTTGAAGACACTAAGATATGGCAAGATTATGATCATGACAGATCAAGATCAGGATGGCTCACATATCAAAGGCCTACTCATCAATTTTCTACAACATTTTTGGCCAAATCTGCTCAAACACAATGTTGTAAACCAGTTCATCACACCTATTGTCAAGGTTATCTTTGTTGTTTATTGGTGAATCTGAGAGTGGACGGGAGTGTGATACTAGATATATTCTTTTAAAAAATAGTATTTAATTAATTTTAAAATTTAGCATTAGTCATAGTTTATCACAGTGTAAAGAAATAGTATTCATGTATCATCTGGGCGTGTTACCTCTCCCCTTCCAAAATAATCAACACTAATAGGATTACATTATTTCATTTCCAGTTGAAACAGCTTGCAAATATTGACATTTAATGAATTATTCATATTTTTTTGTATTGATCTATTTTTAGAATGATGGACTTTTAGGTAGATTTTTCATTGAATTGAAAGGGAAAGTGATTGAATATTTTAGGTTACAAAGGGTAAAGAAGAACATGCTTTCTACAGTTTACCAGAATTTGAAGAATGGAAGTCTGAAACAAGTAACTGGAATGCTTGGAAAATAAAGTACTACAAAGGTTTGCACATATTTTACATTGAAACACTTGTCTTTTAACCAGCACCTTGGTTGCTAAAAAGTAACTGTAAAGTTTTCAAAGGCAATATCTGAACAGTTGTTGACAGATTTCTTTATATTGTTTAATGCTGGTGAGGTCCAACAAAGGTTCAACTCCTTCGACAAAAGTACTGAGATGAAACCAGAGCATATGGTCTTATAAGTTTACTTTGTTAATATTTCATAGATATAATTTTGCCATTTATGCATAAATACAGGTTTGGGAACCAGCACCTCAAAGGAAGCTAAAGAGTACTTCAGTGACATGCGTAAGCATAAGATAGACTTTAAATATTCCGGAGCAGAAGATGATGCATCCATTAATCTCGCATTTAACAAAAAGAAGGTTGATGAGAGAAAAGAGTGGCTCTCTCATTGGATGGAAGAAAAGAAACGAAGAGCAGAAATGGGTCTTCCAGCTGTGAGAACATTTTTCTTTTTCATTAAATTTTTTTAGCTCACCTGAGCACAACAACCTTAAAAAGTCTTTTCCTCAGAAATGACAAAGGATAGATATATATAAATATAATAAAAACCTTTTTAAAAAAAACCTCCTCTGAAATGACAGAGGCTAGAGGTAAGATATTTGGCAATGAAACATTAGGTAGTTGATCTCTACCTGGTTTGTTCAAATTATAGCCCTAGGATCAAAATTGGCCCTGTCTAGGAGGTGGAGGGGTCATTTATTTTTCTAATATATTGTAAAAACTTGATAAATCTTCTCCTGAAATGACAAAGGCTGGAGATTAGTATTTGGCATAAAACATTGGGTAGTGGACCTCTATTCAAGTCATTTAAATTATGCTTCTTGTGTTGATTGGCCCTGCCCTGGGAGTCGTAGATATTCATTATGTACATGTAGTAAATTCTTATATGAAAATTATCTTTGGACGCTTCAAACGCTAGAGCTTATATATTTGGCGTGAAACATTGTGGACCTCTACAAAGATTGTTCAAATTATGGCCCTAGGGTCAAAATAAATTACTCCAATAGCAACCATTGACTTTCCATAGCAACAGATGACTCCCATAGCATCTGTTTGCTTTCCATAACAACCATTGACTTCCATAGCAACCAGTGACTTCATTGCAGCTATTGACTTTCCATAGCAACCGGTGACTTCCATAGCAAACATTAATTTTCCATAGTAACAAGTGAATCTACCATTGAATTTCATAGCAGCCACTAACTTTCAAGGAAACCATAGATTTTGTACAGCTACCAGTGACTTCTTTAGAAAGTATTGTATTCCCCAAGAAATAGCATCCAGTATTGTTTTTACTTTTCAGATACACATATGAACTTTGTGATATCAGTTTAAAATTTTGATTTTATATCTGCTTTTGTTAATAGTTTACAATATTACTTGTTATTATTCAGGTGGGCAATATTAGGGTCATCATGGCCGCTTGATTAAATTATTCTGTAATGTCCACCCTGAAGTAACCTAAGATCATTATTACTTTTCAGCTGTATTTGTATGGTAAAAATACAAGGAGTGTTACCTTTAACGATTTTATAAACAGAGAACTTATTCTGTTCTCAAATGCTGATTTGGAGAGATCTATTCCTTCCATGGTTGATGGTTTGAAGCCAGGTCAGAGGAAAGTATTGTTTACCTGCATAAAGAGAAACTTTACAAATCGTGAGATAAAGGTTGCTCAGCTTGCTGGGTCAGTAGCTGAGTTATCTGCCTATCATCATGGTGAGGTGAGTACATAATGTCATGTAAATAATGAGAATAAGTGTGAGCTTGAGAGGTCAGGGAGACATGTTTGTTTCATTTCATGTTCAATTTATTAGTATATTGTATTGATCATAGATTTTAGTTTAAATACAACAAATCAAACTTGAATTTAGCTTGCTATAAACATCTGAACACAGGTCATATAAACAAAAACTGTTTATTACAGACATCCTTAATGAGCACAATTATTGGGTTGGCACAGAACTTTGTGGGCAGCAACAACTTGAATCTGCTTCAACCTATTGGTCAGTTTGGAACGAGATTACATGGTGGTAAGGATGCGTCCAGTCCCAGATACATCTTTACTATGCTAAGGTGGGTAAAGAAAAACCTTCTTAGTTTTTTGTTATCTGCAGATGAGTTGCCAATTTTGAATGTCTAATCCGCTTACTTAAAAATTGTCAAGTAATCCAGATTTTTTTTTTTTACCTCACTGGAGTGTACTTTAAGAACTATTATGCCTCAGCAATGCTTTTATTTTTGTTTCTCAAAAGTTTTTTTTATTTTTGGTGTTTACCTGTGCCTCATACTTCTTCGGTACTTAACTGTTCAACATAGACAACAAAAGTTAGAAGAATAAAATTCGTGAAAATATGTTGAATATTGTAGCAAAGACATGTCAATTACATCATAGTTTATTCCATTTAACGTTTGCATGTAAACTATTATGTACAAAACGTGGCAATTAACACCTATCTGCTACCAAGTGAGTAAAGTTGTGTTCTCATATTTCCAAGGCAATTACATTTGAATAGTTTATAAAGCAAAAACAATAGTAATCTTGATTTTTTAGTACACCTATACCTAGCCCCGTTTGAAAGTGGGGATTTTCTCTATGGTATTTATCAAATATCTCAATGGTTGTTTAACAAAAACAATTGTCTAAAAAGGTATAAAAAGTAAAATGGTGAAATAATTTACTTTGCTCTTAATCTGAAAAAGATAAAAAGTTTTCTTAGTTGTATATGTAGCATTTCGATAAAAATACAATAATTAAGTAAAAGTAAAACTACTGGCATGTGCATGAGGTCTAGGAGGCACTTGAGTCTGTTTATGCCTAATACCTTGGAATTATGGGTACCACAAAAATATAAGGCACCAGTATACTTTTATAGTTTCCAAAAATTTGCCCATTGGCCAAGTACCTGAATAATCACTTTCTTCTGTTCTGTTTTGGCAATTAGTTCTGTTACAGTGAATTAGTATTTTGTATAGAAGTCAGAATACCATTTTGTTTACATTTTGCTACTTTTATGATAAATTATGTCACAACTTTCTTCAGGTAACAAGCATCTAATATGCTGTAAGACCATTACATAAAAGTAATGAAGTGCATGTTTGCCCTTTCTAAAGAAGTAAAAATTTATTCGTTGCTGAGGCATAATGTGCCTTTAAGTAAGATATTGTGATTGTCATTGTTGTCAGCATTAGATTTGGTGAGAACTTCTGTCTAATGGAAATTTGTCCATGACAATTAATCTAGGCCATTAAGTCTGATTGTCCTTTTTCTCTCGCCACTTATCAGAAATCATGTAGAATTAGTATTCTGTCACTTTCTGAGAAATCTGTAGAGTTATCCAGAAATGCCTTTGGTGGTGGACCAAACGCCAAGATATAAAACAAGGTGTTTAAATTATCATGTTATGTCCATTTCACAAGGACATTTATTAATTTTTCTCTGGAATGGTTGCACTCAGGTGAGTGATTTAGGGTCATCATTGCTCACTTTTTCTGCCAAGATGATGCTGCAAAGATAGTAATATAATTTCTTTACTCTTGTACATTTGAGATTTCTATGATTAAAACTTACTTTGAAGGAAATTAATATCATGTTATGAGACTTATGTGTTGTTGATGTTTGTATTTTAGCCCTTTAACCAAACTACTGTTCCATGTAAATGACGAACCTCTTCTGAACTTCCTGTATGATGACAATCTAAGGATTGAACCTGAGTGGTATTGTCCCATCATTCCAATGGTTCTTATCAATGGTGCTGAGGGAATAGGTACTGGCTGGAGTACAAAGATACCAAATTACGATGTCCGTGAAATAGTTGCCAACATAAAACGTATGATAGATGGAGAGGAGCCTGAGACAATGGTATGAAACATAACCTATATGAGTCGCGTCACGACAAAACCAACATAGTGCATTTGCGACCAGCATGGATCCAGACCAGCCTGCGCATCGCTTACCAGCCCTATTACAAGTAGAGAAGCTGATAGCAAACAGCATTGATCCTGATCAGACTGCGCGGACGCGCAGGCTGGTCTGGATCCATGCTGGTCCCAAACGCACTTCGTTGGTTTTGTCGTGATGTGGCACATATCATTATAATATCATACTATCAGCATAGTTCTATTTAAAGTGTTCTTTAATGATTTGATAAGACATGTATAAATGAATCATACAAGAAAAGTTGCTTTTTATATTGAAATATCTACAGCAACAAGGTCGGATGGGTATTGATTATTAAAATGTAATATGCTTGCCATAAGCTCAAGAACTCAAAAGGTCACAAAAACTGCCAAAGACTTAGCTACTTTTTCTATGTTAAAGCAATATGATTGGTTTTTAACACCTCCGGGGATAGTTGTTGTTATGTTCATACTGTAGAAATTTAGGTCCCTTTCTACATATTTGAATCAGTTAAAGGATTCATTATTCTTGAATCATCGGGACATGCAGAACTCAGATTTCAGAAGTCCCATGTAAGGTAAAAGTCACATCAAGGTGAAATGTGTAAGCATTGTATGTCTGCTCTTTATCTCTTGAGAAAAAAAGAAGCTGAAAAGGTAAGATTGATATGTGGATGAATTATATTTATTTCATTAACATGTTGTGCAGAACACACATTTCAGATGCCCAACTTCAAAAGTTTAAGATTATTGTTCCAAGGTCAAAGACATGAGTCAGAGAATCTAAATTTCAGACACTTCTTTAAGGTCAAGGTTACTGTTAAGCACAGTCATAATTGTTTGTGACCATCACCTGAATTAAAAGATATTAAAGGATATTCTAAAACGTCCTTTACTCATACTAATTTTATACCCGCCACATAATGTGCAGGGAACTATACTGGTCGCGTTGGTCGGTCAGGAAGTCCGTCTGTCTTCATCTTTTCCACTCTATAAATCCTATAACCCTTTAAATTATTTTCTTCAAACCTTGTTTAAATGTTCACCCAAACAAGGTTATGTACAAAATTCAGACACCACTATGCAGGGTCAAGTTCACCCTTGAAGGTCAAGTTCACCCTTGAAGGTCACAGTCAAATCTCTAACAATAATTTCAAGTCTGCTCTACAAATTCTATATCCCTTGAAGGATTTTCTTTAAACTTTGCTGAAAAGTTCACCTGAACAATGGTCACCCCTCAAACATTTGTCTTCACTATTTGATTTTTATAAACTTTTCAAATGACTTTTTAAACTGAAATGTTTTCAAAAATGACGATAAATTTCACTTCATAATATCCTGTGACATGTAGATCAGATGGGGGTATTTATCACTCCTTTGGCAGCTCTAGTTATGTTATGCTCTTTATTGATTTAAATTCTCAAAAAGGAAGTCCTTAAAATGCATTTTAGAGGAAATGATTAAAGTGTTTGTGTTGTTGTTTTTCAGTTACCATCCTACAAGAATTTCAAAGGTTCTATTTATCAGTTAATTGACAACAAGTATGTAGTGAATGGCGAGGTGTCAATAATTGATGATCAGACTGTTGAGATAACAGAACTTCCAGTAAGGAAATGGACCCAGGATTACAAGGAAGATGTTATAGAGTCTATGGCCAATTCTACAGAAAAAACACCACAGCTTATCACGTAAACTTATCTATTCACAGATCTAAAATTGAGCTTTGCTATAAAATTTGTGGTGGATGGGGCAATATAGGAATATATAGGACCCTTGTCCATGTATGTTAGAGTGTATGTGTTTAAAAAGGTATATATAAAGTCCAAAAGTCAGTGTCACAACAGGTTATTGAACTTGCGTTTATTTTTTATGAATTCAAAAGTGCTGTTAGAGTTCCCGTATGGGCAGGTGATCTTGACATGCAAGAACCAGGTCAAGGTCACAGCAAGGGATTTTAACTTTATTTAGTGCAAATGCCATATTCATGTACTTTGAAAAGGTGTTTCAGTTAGTGTCTGGTCCATAGTTTGTGCATACATAATGGGATTCCAGTGTAAACTGGGATAATTGACCACTATAAAGGAAAGTGTGTCATGAGGAAAACCCAGGTCTCTAGCTCAAAGGTCAAGGTCATGGCAAGGGAGGGATTGAACTTTGCCTTTTGTCATTTAGTTTATATGCTGCTGGAGATTGTGTCCCCTATATATTACTGGGATTATCCTGTCCAATTTATAACTTTGTAAATACTAGATGGATTGTCAAAATATTTGTCATATAATGTCCACCACTGTCAGATTGTGTCTTACGCAAGACTCATATCAGCAACTTCATGGTCATTTTTTTGGAGGTCAAAGCCAAAGTTACATCCTATTTGCCTTATAACTCTGTCATTACTTGGTGGATTGTCAAATTACTTGGCATATGTATTTATTCTGGTTAGACATGTCTGCAATTTAAAGGTCAATGTCGGACAAATTGTGTTTGTCCGCTATCCTTTAAGGTTTATAAAATTGTTTATTCCTTGATGTATTATCAAAATATTTGGTAGATGGCTTCACTCGCGTCAAAGGTGTGTCTTACACAATACCCAGATCAAGCTAAAATGTCATTCTGTGGAGCATTTGTTTCCTATGAACACATTTCTGGTTTATTGTTCATTAATTTGGCTCTACAACTTGGAAATGTTTTGGATTTTGTTTTGTTTTTTAAATATGAGATGCAAGCCACTTTAAAGAAGTACACTTTTTATAAAGTTATAAGTATCGATATATTGTACATGTCTGATTTATTTACAAGTCTGATGTACATTGTTGTACATGTGTTTTGTTTCAGAGATTACAAGGAATATCACACTGATACAACAGTGAAGTTTGTTGTGAAAATGACATCACAGAATCTTGCAAAGGCAGAAGAACAAGGATTGCATAAAGTGTTCAAATTACAAAACACTATAACAAGTAATTCAATGGTATGCTTCAGAGATTTTTATGAATGTTGGGCAATATATATGTGAATGATAAATATCTTGTTTTATTATACCCCCTGCAAACAAAGTTTGAAGGTTGGTATACAACATAGTGTTCACACAAGTTTTTTTCCATACATGATGTTTGTACCAAAATGACAAATGATATAGAAACATCTGCAAACTCCTCTTTTCTCCATCTTTCTCTTTATTATTTTCTATCAATTGCATACATGTATTTGTATTTTATTTTTTTCTTCATTTTCCTTCTTTATAGGGTTTAATTAAAATTATGATAAGCCATGTATTATATGAACATATTGCTTTTGTTAAAGGAGAGGACTACCATGAGCTATTATAGCTCTCTGTCCAATTCCTTTCTGCTTAAATTGTAAATTATTAACATGTATATATTACCTTGAATAAAAATATGTTTAAACCAAGGTTGGTATACTGGAGTCTGCTTGTCCTATGGCCATATGTCTGCACTTGTGAAAGCAACTCCTACACTACATTCCTCACTAAGTAATTAGATATGCATGTGAAAAACATTTGAATTCCTCTTCTTCACACAGAAGTTTTATTTAATTTTGTTTTTCTGCAAAATTTAATGTGTTTGTTGTGCAATCAGGACATATGTTAGTTATTTCTAGAGGCCAGATAATTTTGTAAAGTAAATGTTAAAAGGGATTTCCTTGTTTGTTTCATGTTCATACCTGTGTTTTTATACAAAGGATTATTATACTAAGAAAATGTTAGAAGACAATATGTTGTGTAAGCCCAAGTCACTAAGGACATCCATCATAATCAGCAATGTTGTGTTCACTGTTGTTTTGTTTTATCGATTTTATTGAATAATACACATCACACATATACTTAACTTCATTTGCATACGCTACTGGTTTGGGATTTAAAGTGTTTCACACATGCATTGGGTTTTGATTGGTGACAATTGGTGATCGCATGAGACGGGGTTCTATGAAAACACAAACACTTGACAGGTAAAAGTGGTCGCTTGATGAAAAGTTTGATCACAATAAATTAATTAGTATCGATGAGAATTAAAACTGGTCACTACAGATAAAAGTCGCTTAATGCACATGGTTGCATGGGCAAGTTAGACTGTATTAATTCTAAGTAGCTAAAATTAAATAATGATAAAATATGTACTGTTTCATGATTCAGTTTTTTTTTAAAAAAAAAACAAAGTGTTATCATGACCCATATAATTCTTTTGCACATGAATTATTTTAATGGTTATTTTAGGTGCTATTTGATAGAAATGGATGTATCAAAAAGTACAACAGTGTAGAGGAAATTTTACGTGAGTTTTTTGAAGTTCGATCAGAGATGTATAGAAAGAGGAAAGCCTATCTAGAGGGAATGTTAGCTGCAGAATCCCTTAAGTTTGATAACATTGCTCGCTTTATCATGGAGAAAATAGAGGGCACTGTTACCATTGGTAAGCTTAAATAATTTATGTCAATTCATAATGAGAAAATAGAGGGTACTGTTGTATAATTATATCTAACCGAACTATACCTTCAAGTTTCTACCCCTTGGAGAAAATTTGTTACTCATAGTTGGATATCAAACAGTCCTGCTATCTAATATAAACAATAACTCATGCCCACTTTAATAATGTCACTCGTGTCTACTATAATGTTAAAAATGCAGTTGTATGACATAAGAAAGCAACAACCAATTTATTCTCAACTCTTTATTTACCAGATTTATATTTCATCTGGAAGTAGTTGTAATGACCAAACATTAAGGTGACAAGTATGGGGGTTAGAGGGATGATTGAAGTTTTTATCCTGGCATGCTGATTAAGTTTCAAAATCTACTGAACTTGGTTTGGTTGTAGTATATCATTAATGCAAGAAGTCTGTTACTGTTGTTTTGAATCATGGATAAATTAAGAAAATATTTGAATACTGAACATTGCAGAAAACAAGAAAAAGAAGGACTTGGTTGATTTGTTGGTTAGAAGGGGTTATGACTCTGATCCTGTTAAAGCTTGGAAAGATGCCCAGAACAAAGGAAAGGTAATCAGTAGGAATGGCTTTATATCTTTAGATTTTAATCCCCTGCCTTACAGTGATGTGGGGTGAGGGGGTTGTAGAAATGGCCTGTCAGTCTTGTCTATCCATACATGTCTGTCTGTCCAGGCATTGATGATTGATTAAAAGCAACTCTCAGTTTATATTTGATAATGAATGATGAAAATGGGCTGATGAAAATACTGTGTGAATATTGAAATACTCAAAAAAAATTTACCTGCCTCTCTTTGTCAATAGCAGGAAAGTCTTCACATATACTATTGAAACTGGCTTTTAACAAAAGAATTATTTTTCTATTTAAACAAGGAGAAAATATAAACTTTTTAAGGGTAAATGGTGCCAAATTTTGCGAAAATAAAGCAGCATATTTCAGAACATTAATTTTAAAATGAATTCTTCAAATAAACATTCTTGTGTCCCACAATTTAATATGTTTTATAAATTGAATATATTTATGACATTTTGCATCAGAAGAAGGAGGTAGTTGTGAGTATAAGCATGGTTCATTTTAATTTGTGATTTTTTGTGTTAGTATTGCTATATGTGGCTCCTTATTGTGATAATTTTTTATAGCCATCTTGGAAGCTGAAATAGAGAAACATTTACTTTCTTTAAGTAAAATGAATGCAGTAATATTATAAAAGTTAAAAGCTATATAGGATAAACATCAGTTTCCAGCTACAGATATTGAAATATACGAGTTCAGCCATAGTGTGTCACTAGATGTTTGATAAATTGTTTAAAGATTTATTATATCAATACATAGATCAAAGGCTGCTTCTTCGTGGTAAATAAACAGTCAGAATGTCTGTATTGTTTAAGGGTGCATGGTTATAGTCAAAAACTGAGACCGTTGTAAATTTTATAGAAAGAGTGTCATTTAACCATGGCTGAAAAACCAATATGTAATAATGTGTTGGTGTTGTCAGTGTATCTGTTAGAGAAAGATTTCTACATCAACATTTGATAGTGGCAGGAATTAATGAATAAGCCATGTTTACCACAACATTACATTACTGCAACATCCTTGTGTGTGAAACAATTTATCAGAATTACTTCAAACTAGGATTCTGGCATCATGACATGGACTCCATACAATTATTTTAGTAATGGTGTTTCCCTCTCATTTTTTTGATCAAGTTGTGAGAGAACCTGCCAGGAAATGAAATACTCATAACACTGGTGTCATTATTTTATATAAACAGACAAATATATGCATCTAGTTTGACTATTAGAAGAGAAATGAGGTAGCCTAATTCATTTGATGTTAGAAAACATTTGATAATAAGGTCTTGCTTGTAACTTACTATATTAACCACTAAAGATATTGACTTTACACTACAGGTGGAGTACATATTCAATATTCTAACACTCACGTGATTTTGTCACTATAGACAAAGAAGGACAAAAACTGGTGTTAAACGGACAATAAACACCGGTTAGGGACTACTTGAATATGCGCTGTTATGTTTTCACCCTCGATTGTATAGTTTACAAAGCATTTTAAAGCAACAATAAAAAGCATTTTTATTTATATTTTCAGTTCTTAAAATGTTTTCTTTTCAAACCATACCGAAATAATATCTCACATACACTAACGCCACCTATTAGATCCATGTCAGTTAATAAATATTTTGACAAAACGGCGCCAACCGTAAGCAGCGTAATGACGTCATCCTAAGTAAACAACTCATTTATAAACAAGCTGACGTTATTTCATACATACAAGAATGATAAATGGGGTACTGATGTAAACACAATACGACGTAAGTTTTTATTGTTGAAAACTTGATAAATTACGTTTTTTTTCTTATTATTTCTTTTGTTTAATAATTTCTATAACTTCGCAACAGTAGGGTGCGGAAATCGAACAGCGTTATACGAAAATCGGCACCGGAAGTTATTTCCGCTTGAAAAATAACATAAGTGATTTTCCTTATTTCATCGTGTTAGAATCGAAATAACATCGGCCTGAGAGGTGTATATCGGCTATTTAACACCGGTTTTGTCGTTTTGATGCGACAAAATTAACCACTCAGGCCTACGGCCTTCGTGGTCAATTCATACGCATCAAAACTCCAAACCGGTGTTAAATAGCCGATATACACCTCTCAGGCCGATGTTATTTCTTAAATTTCATTTTTATGTATGATTAAATGATAAATGTCATGCAATACTTTAATACATTTAGTTTGAAATTATGTTTGGTGAAATAATTAAAGGCTGAAATATGTTAAAATGTTTACAGATGATAGATGATGATCTATACAACGAGAAGGAGGAGGAGGAAGAATCTGGTCCAGATTTTAACTATATACTTAATATGCCACTTTGGTGTCTAACTAAAGAACGTAAAGATGAACTATGTGGTAAACGAGATGCCAAGGCAAAGGAACTGTCAGATCTTCGTAGAAAGACACCTACAGATCTATGGAGAGATGATTTAGAAGAGTTCTTACAAGAGTTAGATGTATGTTTATCTTATAGTTTGTTTCTTGAACTTACAGTTATTGAAGTGTAATGCAAGGTTTTACATTTAAAACATTAGCTGTGGTTTGATGTCAAAATTTTGATGGCTCATAGAATTAGTATTTATATATAACTTTACATCTTCTGACTATTTTTGTTCTTATAAACTGCCTTTGTGACTTTCTTACTTTAACTGCCTCTTCTCAACTTTAATATTCAAGCCTGTGAAACTTTGGTGAAATATTTACATCTTAAAGTGATATTTTATGATAACCTTCAAGTTTTTGCTAATACATTGAATTTTGTTTAAACAGAAAGTTGAGCAACAAGAGAGAGATGATGATTTTGGAGTTATTGAAAACAAGAAAGCTGGAAAGAGCAAAAAGCCTAAAAAGATAGTGGAAGAAGTGAAACCATCTCCTATAGGACGACGTATAGAACCACGCTTTGATTCTATAAAGAAGAAGGCTGAAGGGACAAAACGTAGTAAAGTAAATAATTTTGATTGCCTGTTTTACTTTCTGAGATGAGTAAATGAGACAGAATAAAATCAACAAAATATAGTATGGAAAAAAAAACTTGGCCATTGTTTAATGCTTTTTCAAATTTTTTAGTTTTTAGCTCACCTGAGCATATGCTCAGGGTCACTCTTTGTCCGTCGTACGTTGTCCATTCACACTTTTAAAACGACATCTCCTCTGAAACCATAAGGCAGATCATATTGAAACTTCACAGGGATGTTCCTTGTGTGAAGCCTTAACAAAGTTGTTCAAAGAATTTAATTCCATGCAGAACTCTGGTTGCCATGGCAACCGAAAGAAAAAACTTTACATATCTTCTTTTAAAAAACCCTAAGAGCTAGAGCTTAGATATTTGATATGAAACATCTTCTAGTGAGTGTCTACCAAGTTTGTTCAAATAAAAGCCCTGGGGTCAAAATTGGCCCCGCCTCAGGGGGTCATTGATTTTCCCTATATGCATATAGTAAAAACTTAAAAAATCTTCTTTTAAAGAACTCAAAGAGCTAGAGCTAAGATATTTAGCATGAAACATGTTCTAATGGGTGTCTACCAAGTTTGTTCAAATAAAAGCCCTGGGGTCAAAATTGACCCCGCCCCAGGGGGTCATTGATTTTCCCTATATGCATATAGTAAAAACTTAAAAAATCTTCTTTTAAAGAACTCAAAGAGCTAGAGCTAAGATATTTAGCATGAAACATGTTCTAATGGGTGTCTACCAAGTTTGTTTAAATAAAAGCCCTTGGGTCAAAATTGGCCCAGCCCCGGGGGTCATTCATTTTCTTTATATGTGTATAACAAAAACTTAAAAAAATCTTCTTTGAAAAAACCCAAATAGCTAGAGTTTAGATATTAAGCATGAAACATCTTCTAGTGAGTGTCTACAAAGTTTGTTCAAATAAAAGCTCTGGGGTCATAATTGGCCCCGTCCCGGGGGTCATTGATTTTCCTTATATGTGTATAGCAAAAACTTAAAAATCTTCTTTGAAAAAAACCCAAATAGGTAGAGTTTAAATATTAAGCATGAAACATCTTCTAGTAAGTGTCTACAAATTTTGTTCAGATAAAAGCCCTGGGGTCAAAACTGGCCCCGCCCCAGGGGTGTCATTGTTTTTAACTATATGTGTATAGTAAAAACTTAAACTTAAAAATCTTCTTTTAAAAAACCCAATGAGTTAGAGCTAAGATGTTTAGCATGAATCATCTTCTTATGGGTGTTCAAATAAAAGCCCTTGGGTTAAAATTGGCCCTGCCTTTTGGGGGGGGGGGGGAGATCGTTGTTTTTCATTATATGTGTGTAGTAAAAACTTAACATTGTGAAACATCTCCTAATGGGTGACTCTTCCGAGTCTGTTCAAATAAAAGCCCTGGGGTTTAAACTGGCCCAGCTCCGGGGGCCTATATACAGGTGAGCGACCTCAGGGCCATCATGGCCCTCTTGTTTTTTTTTCTTTTGGAAAAAAAACAAAAAAAACCCAAAAAAGTTGATTTTCTTTAATATGGGAAGGAAAACAAAAGATAGTGATATTATTTTGTATCGATGCTCATTACATATAAGGTCATGTTAAATTTAATCCTATCTTATCAGGTATCACATAGTATTTTGTTTTTCTTTTTAATAAGAATGATATGTTGTGACACTTACAAAAATATGAATAACCTAAGTTTTAAAGTGAATTAGTCCATAATGGAAGTCCTGAAATACCATAGATAATTTAGATTGATAGTATTAAACATTACAACAAACCATAAAATATTTTAAGTTGTTAGTGATGATCTGATATTACATATCTATATATAAGAAAGCAGACATTCAATTGTTTTAGAACAAACTAATATATTAATAATATAAATGTTTATACTAAATCACTCTTCAACATTTTTTCAAAGAATTATCTTATATGAATATATATTTATGATATATTTCTTTTGTTTTTATCAATATCTGAAATAATTATGAAAATACTCTTATTAGAGACCAGTTCACTGTAAATTGAAACACATAAAAATAAATGAGAGCTTTCTTTTCATATTTTTTTTTCAAGAACATCACAAAATTATAGGAATATATTATTTAATAGTAATGCAATATTAGAATCAATCGGTGTAAGTGATATTAAGTTGATGTTTAAGTTTTATTGATTTTGTATTTTAGGAGAAAAAGGAAGCTAAGAATGGCAACATACTTGACTTTATGAAAATGGAAGATGAGGAAAGCAATGAACCTCTATCTTTAGCTGATAGACTTAAACTCAAAGGAAGCCCTGTTGATGTCATCAAGGGAGGTAAAGAAACTAAAGTGGCAGCTCAGAAAAAAGAACCAAAAGGTATACTTTCAAAAGTGATAAATATAATAGGAAATATTTGTAATTAGTGTTATATATTAGGGAAGATTGATCATATGTTGCTTGGTATGTACAGTTTACCTTAAATTAAGCTTTCTCACATGATCTATCAGAAATGTTCAGAATTTGTTGCTTTCAATACATATTTGATCATGAATGTTGTGTATATGCATATTATATGTAACTACTGCAATTAGGACTGCCATTTAAGTTCAGTGGTGACATTGCTAATTAAGAAAATTGGTTATTACACCATTACTAATGAAAGAGATTTGGAGTAAAAGATGAACAGGCATCTTTAAATATTGATATATATCATCAATATTCAACATTCTATAGCTAATTAGAGGTTATTATATGGCCATTATAGTGGTGGACATTGCTGTCATCGATGGAAAATTTTGTATCGATATATAGAGTGACAAATATCGACGCTATAGATATATCAACTTTCACAGTAGATTCAATGAAAAACATTCAAATATGTGTTATAAATTGGGATCATGGTGTTATGCATGCTTACACATTACAAATACTACAAACTAACAGAAAGTTGTTTTTTTTCTGTTATTTTTGTCGCTGACAATTGAAAACCGAGTTTAAAAGTTCAAGATAGCCAAGAAAACTGGGAAAAAGTGACTTCTCTTATTAGGCAAAATGGAGAGGTATATTCACTACCAGAAATTAATAAATTTTAGCTGGTATTGATATTTGAAAGTGTGTATCAATATTTAATCGGATGATGAATATTGATGATATATCAGTATTTCGATATTCAATGACAGCCCTAGTGAACAATATCTTAAATTTTCTTATACTAAATTATTTTTAATTTTAACATCTTTGTTAACATCTTTGTTAATGCCGATTCACATGTTAAGATGACGTGAAAGAAAACAGTGAGTTGTTAATTAGTTGGCCTACAAATATATCAAATTTTACACCTCACATATATAATGACAGCAGAGATAAACAGTAATGAATGATTAAAAATTTAATAAATAATTGTAAAAATATCTCTGGACATAGTGTTACTTAACTGTGTACAATATTGTAAATCTAACAGCAATGTCTGACTTATTCTTAAACATTATGGGGGGAATCTAAAATCCTTCATTTCACTGCTTTTAACAGGTAACATATTTCACAGATACTGTCAATTGAAATGGGAAAAAGATATCATAATCTCTGTATTAAATCATCAAACTTAATTGTAGAAGAAATAGAATCTATGATTACTTGATATAACACCTATTGTGGATCATATTTTTATTAAACAGCTCCTAGACAGAAGAAATCATCCGCATCACCCAAAAAGAAAGGTGGCAAGAAGCGTAATCCGTGGTCTGATGATTCAGCTGATGAAATCAGTGATGTATCAGATGATGATATGGATGGAAGCTTCCTCGGAACTGTCATACCTAGAGATGGACCAAGAAGGGCTGCAGGTATCTGATTTTATACTTCGGTTATGTTAGCTCTTTCAATTTTTAGCCCACCTGTCACAAAGTGACAGGGAGAGCTTTTGTGATCGCTTTTCGTCCGTCGTCCGTCCGTCCTTAAACTTTTACTTTAAATGACATCTCCTCATAAACCACTAAGCCAATTTCATCCAAACTTCACAGGAATGTTACTTTGGTGGTCACCTTTAAAAATTGTTCAAAGAATTTAATTCCATGCAGAACTCTGGTTGCCATGGCAACCGAAAGAAAAAACTTTAAATATCTTCTTTTAAAAAACCCAAAGAGCTAGAGCTTAGATATTTGGCATGAAACATCTTCTAGTGAGTGTCTACCAAGTTTGTTCAAATAAAAGCCCTGGGGTAGGTCATTGTTTTTCATTATATGTGTGTAGTAAAAACTTAACATCATGAAACATCTTCTAATGGGTGTCTTCCAAGTTTGTTCAAATAAAAGCCCTGAGGTTTAAACTGGCCCCGCTCCGGGGGCCTATATACAGGTGAGCGACCTCGGGGCCATCATGCCCTCTTGTTTAAAACTGGCAAATGTTCGCCCTCCAGATTCTTTAAAGGGCAAATGTCTGCCCTTTCAAAACATGAGTTTCTGCCACAATGAAATAAGATGGCAAATGCCTTAGAATCTGTTAGAGCTGTCATTGATTCAGTGCAAAGCATATCAACGATATATCGATATCAGATGACTAAAATCAACGATACACCGATATATCGATAATAACCTATAATTACTTGTCTGTCATTCACTTTCATACCTGTTTAAATGATTTCAGTTAAAAACATGTTCTGTACAGTGTATTGTCCACTGCATAATTTTTTTCTAGACAATATTTTTTGTCACCATTGCTTTGAAATATTTCCACTATATAACAAAAGAATAATATTAGACACAAATATTTGCTTCTGTATATGTTTTGGGTGAATTTTTATAATTTCTAGACATTTAATTAATTAATCAAAAGTATCGATTTTTTAAAATGTGTATCGATTATTGATCGGCAAAAAAATATCAACGATACATCGATATTGTCTCTATCGATGACAGTTCTAGAATCTGTTCTTTTTGATACATGTCTGTCTTTTTATCCCAACCATACAAAGTTTAATTAGAGCTGCCCTTCTAAGCTTCGAATATATCTTTATATATAATTGATTTTCCCCCATTGTTTTGTCTGCTGGGTCCATAATTCAATTAGTCAAACATGAAGTTTCTTCTGAGAGCACTTGTTGATCATACCATTGTACTTTCAGCTAAGCAGGTGAAGTACAATTTTGAAGCTGAAGATGAGATAGAAAGTGATGGAGAAGGAAGTGTTGTAGATAATTTAGCTGTAGTTGAGGATCAGCCAGCTGTTGTTTCTGATGTAAGTGATGGTGACTCCGACTTTGAGGCGCCGGTTGAGAAATCTAAGCCAGCAAACCAGTAAGTTCTATTATTCTGCAGTTTCAGGCCTCATTAGATTAGATCAAGTTTTTTAAGAAATGAATTTAGTTGACCCCTGGCAATACAATATTTTCTTGATGGATTATTACAAACTTTAGTTGAAAATTTAAATATTTTTAAGCTATGACCGTAAAAAAATGGCCTTGAAATTAGTTCTAAATTGATGTGGTAGTCCTGTTTAGGGGCCTTAATGACCATGTTTATGAATAATGTACGACAAACAAAATAATTTCGTTTTTTTTATAAAATGGGGCTTAAATAATGTACTTATTAATGACTTCTTTTCATTGAAACTTACTACGTTGATACAATACAAAGTGGAGATATGCATAGTATCTTTGTCAATGAGACCATTAGTTAAAGTTGTGATTCTCGTACATGATCCTTGCAAAAATGCCAAACTACAGTTGTTGTGTATTATGAGGATATTCAACACTTATGCTGTATGATATTCATCACTTTATAGGAAGAAAGCAATGGTTATAGAATCTGACTCAGATGATGATGACAACACTAATACGGTTAATTCCAGCAAGGAAGATAAAGATGATGAATGGCTAAGAATTACTGGACAACTTCCAGACAAATCTTCACAATCAACAAGTAAATCATTTTGATTGTAAAGTAACTGTACAATAACTGGTTAAAACCCTGTAAATAAAGACAAAGTATTGCTTACTAACCAGCTTGTTGTGTAGAATTGTTCAATGAATAGATTCATGAATAACTGTATATTACAATATATTCATGTTTAGCTGCCAATATTAAGTTTTCATTGTGAGCTTCATCTTTGATAGAAGTTACTGAAAGTCTGTCCATTCTTGATTTGTTTGTGTCATTTCCCAAACCATGGCTTAATAATAGACAAGATTTTATAGGAATACACTTTTATGGAGGTCATTTTCACTGTCTATATTTCCACAATATACAGCATATATATTAGTGAGTTTATTGGTTAACTCATTTTATGGTTTTATATGATAACTCCTAAAAGAGATGACCAATTTAGTAATTTTGGAATATACAGGTTATCTTCAATTAACATTTTTTGTAAAAAGGAGTTAGTTTTAATGTTGTAATGTTTTTGCAAATTCTCAAATGACTTTAAAAATGCTAAGTGTATATTTAATTATTGTAGCATAAGGAATGTTGGTAGTTCTACCCAGCTAACATCTAACCAAAGATAACTATCATCGATTTTAAATGAAATTTTGACCTTTGTGAACTTAAAGAATTCTTCAGTCAATATCAAAGACTCATAACACTGTCATGTTGTTGGTTTTTTGGGATGAAATCTTCCTCTTTGTATGTTGCTACAGTATCCATTCTGGTCATAGTGTATCAAGCAATGAGAAAAGTTAAGGCTGTTGTTCAGTTTCCATGTATTTAACAGATATTATGATTTGTTATTTGTTTAGACTCTGAGCCAATGTTTGATGATAGTGATGTGGAAGAAGTGGCTCAACCTAAAGAAGAACTTTTTAAACCTGTCAAATCACTGAAAGCTGATAAAAAACCAGCTGCCAAAAAACCAGCTGCTGAGAAAAAGCCACGTGCTCCAGCCAAAAGCAAAACACAAAAGAAAGGTTGGTAATGATAGCCATGATTTGTGGAAACTTGCATGGCTTGTGTTTTTGTTTTTAATTACATATTGTATACATTTATATTTCAGAGTTTAGATGTTCTATAAATATAATGCTGTCTTAATAAATGATAATTATATATTTCAATTTAATCTTTCCGGGCTTATCTGAATCAGGCCAGTGTTCATAAAGAAAAATCAAGATGAAATCACTGGTTTTAATAATCCAGATTTTGTTTCCAATTTTTATTGGCTGACACATTTTATATTTATTTTGTATATTACATCATCAATATTCCCCTTAAGTGCCCAAATGTCTTTGGTAGATACATGTATATTAATAGCCATTTTACATTGGCAAATGTAGATGTAGAAAACAACTAACTATATAGAAAATTTGCAGGACAGCCCAAATGTAAAAGCTTAGTTATTGTTGCCATGGCTGGGAATTTTGTATGATGATATATTTGAATCTTACTAAAAAAAACACTTTGTCTTTGTTTGCCCTACCTCTCAAATAGATTCAAAACAGCCTGGTATCTCAGCTGCTTTTTCCCAGAGTTCAACAGCAGCAAAATCAAAGAAAGTTGTAACTATATCAGATTCTGATGATGATTCTACTTCACACAAAGGTAGTTAGTTCTTGCTGCATGCACATATACACTTCTTTGTTTGTGTAGTTTATTTTACTGATGCAGGGATAGATGAAAGCTTCATATGTTGTCCACATGAAGGATACTTTATGCTGCTAAGGTTCTATGATGGTTTATCATTAATATATTGTTTTGCTTCAATCAATAAGAAAATTTTGAAAAATAAAAAATGATTAATCTTTTGTTATTCCTCAAGGTTAGACCAAGTGTTTATTCTTGTAAAAGTGACATCAGGGAGCATTGGTCTTAAAGAGATTGATGGTATCTGTTTGTAATCTAAATAGATATAAACTATATATGAGAGGCTGATGATATTGCATGTTTTCTGTTGTATTTAGACATATAAACAAACTTTTCCGCCTTTCTTTAGCTAGGAAACATTTCAAATTACAGTTTGTCTTCAATATCATTGGAGCCATTGCAGTTAGTAACAATAAACATTACAATGTATCTTTCTGTGCCGTTTTTAAAAAGAATTATTTCTTGAATTTACCATATTTTTGTAGTGGCACATTGTATATGAAATAGTAATATCTTTTTACACATTATTTCAATTGAAATTAGTATGGTTCCCTTATAAGAATATAGTATCTGCTGTACTTCATCTGTGTTACACTTCTTTCTTGTAAGCCGAACATGTACTTTTTTATCCTTCAGAGCCAAAGGAAAAGAAAGCTGCACCTAAAAAGAAAAAGAAGAATCCTTGGTCTAGTGATGAAAGTGAAGATGAAAAGCCAAAAAAGGCTGCAGTCAAGAAACGAACAAATGTTGATCTCTCAGATAGTGATGGAGAAAGTGCTCCTAAAAAAAGTAAAACTACTAAAAAGGTAAAACAATAACTGCTATATAAAAATGGAATCTGGTCTTTAAAACCCTGCTTAAAATAGCAGTGTTATATTTTGTTCCAAAATATTGTATGTTACAACTGTTAAGGGTATCAACCATAAGACAGGGCATTTTTTGCCAAAATTGTGAATGGGCCTGTTCATTTTGTGAAAAAAGCGCGATATGTCATAAAATTTTAAATGACATAATATAATTTGCCAATGAAATTATGAAACCAGAAATGATGAAGCTTGATAATAATTTCTGACCAGTGTAAAATCTGCTTTTAGCTGGTACTTCAATCTGGTAAACATGCACAAATACCATATAACTTGATTAAAACTATTTACATGTTTGCAATAGGCAAAAATCAAGTTTTACCTCAAGGTAAACAATGAAATTTGAAGACTAAGTCCCGAAATTTTATAAAATCTCTTTTGAAATTGTGAATTTTTTTCCGTCGCTTTGTGAAAAAAAAAGTGCAATTTTGAATTGTAAAGGGGCCTGTTATCGGCCCCTGTTATAGAAGGAAAAGATGCCCTGTAAGATAATTGAAACAACAAATGTTAACTGTTTAAATCACAAGATACAGCTTTATAACCTTTAATTCTTACACTGTATACATAATGAATTTACTCAAGTAGCTTTACTTCTATTATACTCAAGTCCATCATAACAAAAGGGAAAAAAGCTTGAAATATCTTTATATCAATGAAAAGAAAGACAAGAAATTGAGCTTAAGATATTAAAAGGAATAAAGGATAGGTACATTGTCATGTATAATATTGGGGGATAAATAAGTGATAACTACATGTATTATGTTTAAAGGGATATTCAGGCAAAGTAATGACAAAAATATTAAAATGATCTTATGTACTCAAATCACGCTAAAATGGTTCTTGAAGCATGAATTTCTGTTTAAATTCTAAATATTTTGGGTTTGAAGCGTAAATATATCTATATATGTTGAACAAAATTTAGACCCGAATAGAATCACCAAATACTTTAAAAACAAGTCACATGACTTGAACAACCCTTGAAGTTACAATAACAGATATTATGGATATTGTATGATTGAAACAAGTCTTAAGTCATACATTTGACATGTTCTTTAACGTTTCCAGAGTTCACTTTGACAACTATTTTGAAATCCTAGCGCTCTAACCTGACCCACGCAGGTCAAGTTAGGAAACCACCATTTTATTCTTTATATGGAGAAAAGTTTTGTTCCTATGACTGTCTAATATATTCAATTTGAGGGCATTAACAGAATAATGACTCAAAAACTCAAAACTAAGAAATGAAAAATTTGCCTGTGTCTCCCTTTAAACCCTACATGTATAATGTTTGAAAGGATATCCTTAAATCATAAAGGAGAAGTCTTTTAAGTTCAAATATGGTATTACAGGGCCGGCAAAATCTGATTTTGACTTACTTGTCCGCTTTTATGTGAAGCATCATTTAACTTGTCCGTATGATATTTACATAGTTTATTCTTGAAAATTTTCACATGTCCGTACAGGCTGTGGGACAACCTGGGCAATACGGACAATTGATTTTGCAGGCCCTGACTGGTATCTGATAGTCCATAAATTAATCTCTGATGAATTTAAAATATTTATTAATTTGATTCTGAGAACAATCATCTAGTAACTGGAGTAAAGGAAACAGTACTTATTAAAGGAACACCACTTAGGTCCAAAATGCCTAAAAACATAAAATTTGAATTTCTGACATCAATGGATCACTTTAAACAGAAATATATTTAAAACATAATTAAACCATTAATTGAAAGTTGATTTTTTGTGCTATGTTTGTATGATTTGAGTGAAAGTGAACGCTTTTCATTTTTGGGTAGTTTTTCACAATTAGAATAATAATTATAAGAAAACGGAGTGAGTGAATGATCTGAAATTTTGCACACTAGTAACTGGGCTAGACCTTCATCAAATGGGACATTAATCTCAGAAATTCATGTCCAGTCTCGTCATGTCATAAAATCTTAGTGGAGTCTCTATAACACTGGTGTTAAAATGATTGTGTGTTATATTTCAGAAGAAGAAATATACTAGTGATGAGAGTTTTAGTGCCTCAGATCAAGACAATGATTTTGTCTCTACAGCTACTACAGCACGGGGTGGTGGACGTGCTCGTGCTAATGTTAAATATAACTTTGGAGAGGATTCTGAGGAGGAGGACTTTTGATATACTGTTGTCTGACAACTGCTAGCACTACAGCAGATTATATGGAGTAAATGTGTAAATAGTGAACATATAAAAGGAAGTATGAGATATAAAGTATGTTGATTAGAGGAGACAATAATCAGGGATGATCAGATCATCACATCGTAGACATGAACAGTCATTTCATCTTGTCTCAATCACTTTAACAACTACATGATGCTGAACAAGAAGGCTGTGTGAAGTTTTTAACTATATACTTATGCTAATCATTTGTATAGGGTTTTTTCTTTCGACAAAAGAATTGATAATGAAAATGTTGTAAATATTTTAATGCAACAGTGTTTAGTAAAACAGTTTGGTACTTTTTTCTTGCTTCATGAGGATGTATCTCAAATAAAGGAGCCAGGCTTCTGGAACTTAAATTTTTTTATCACTGTATATATTTATATTAATTTTTAGTCTTTGTCAAATTAAGTTCCATCAGAAGACACTTTCATTTCTTTTGAACTCTTCAAGGTTTTATTTATAGAGTTTCTTCTTTTATATTATTTGTTTAGAAAATTCAAACAAAAGATTCGAACAAATGGTACATATATAATTTAAAAACAACTGGGCAGTATCATCAGCACCATTAATATATATGTATCATAATATGAAGGTTTGAATTAGAATTGATTTGATTACTGTATTGAGCTTTAACACCACCAATCTAGGATGCTGTTATTCTGTTTAGGTTTGGGGGTTTTGTCAAACAAAACTGCAAATTAAAACAAAGATAATAAATTTCTGATGCCTTTTAAGATAATTTGATTTTCCTGTCAAAAAGTAAACTAGCCAATATCGTGGGTACTTATGCTTAGACCTCTATCTAGAGGCTTAGTTTGGCTAGCTGTGGATGTTTGTTTCCCTTATTATTTCAATGGATACTGGTGATTTAAGGATCATAACCTCTTATTTACTAAAGTGCTTCAAGATTATTTGTTGTCGGCCAAAAATTACTAAAACATTTTCACTTAACCGGACAGGTTCACGTTCCTTAGGTGGTCCTCTGCAAATATCGTAAATTAGGCTGAGACCTTTAAAAAATCTTATGGTCAAAAACTGCAAGGCAAACTGTAGATTTGGTTTGTAGCTTTGCCTACTGGTCTTTCAGAAAAGTCGTAGTAGTGGGGCCAAAATTCAAAATTGTTCTTCCTGATATACTAGTACCAGATATATCTCAAACTAGAAAGCAAAGAGCTTGGATAGTTAGCCATTACAAAACTTATAAATTTATTTTATTCTTGCACCTTGACCGGTCATTAAACTAGAAAGGTGGTACATGACATTTTCTAGTGGGCCTATAGAGCATGTTTGTGGACATGCCCTAAGGAAGTATTTACACAAAGTTCAGAAATAATGTAGGTTTGATCAAACTTGCCTGTTTGTAAATAATCATAAATGTTATTCATTGTATATGCCATATGATAGTCATCACTAATGATTTACTAACAAAAAAACTAAAAAAGCAACTGCTTTAATACAGCCTAGAGCAAAATGAGAACCGATACTGTATTTAAGATTTATATATTATATATTATACCCTTTCTTCTGAAACTATATGCCTTATATTTTTTAGATGATCTTTAAGTAAAAAAGTATTCATTTTCTGTAACAACTGACACAGATCATAATAAATGTTGTATGACATATTTGGTTTGTTTTAATAAATTTCCTACCTGTCATGCATGATAAATGCTGGGTTCGCATTTTGTTCAAGACTACACGGGCAACCCAGTCTCGATGTTTTATCCCCCAACATGATTATGGCAAGGGGGGCATATAGTGTAATCCCCGTCCGTCCGTGAGTGCAGGTGTTTGAAACCACCTTTTCGGTCTAGCATCAATCACGGGATTTGGGCACAAATTTTAAACATGATGAGACTCGTGCCAAGACCTGAACCCTTTAGCAGTCGGATAATCTTGTCTGGCCCAGAACCAGTTAAAAGTGTAGAGCATTACGAATTTTGTTATTCTAGCAATTGTGATAACCAGTGCTTTACTCTGACAATAAAAAATAATTATTTATGTGAAAATCTATTAATTTGTTCTGTACAAACTAAATTGGGAAATTTTAGCTCTGTCTCCTTGTGAATATTTAAAAACAGTTCTAATCAATATTTATTTCTTCTCTTACTTGAAAGGTCTTTTATTTCAAATAAGATCATGAAATACCAACTATGCAGCTGTCATGACATCTTTATTCATAGTCGTCTTTTTTCCAAAAATGAATCAAATCCATAAATATGTAAAGTTATGATAGTTTAAGCATTTAAATGTTATCGGCAAATGTGGGTTTTTCCAAGTTAATCCCCCGGTACAAACTTTTATCGTTATAGCTTCACAGTACAATGTTAGACACAAAAGATTAGTCAATCTGTTGCACATATTTTCGAAACTGTAACTGTGAAAGTTTGTACCCCCGTATTACCTATGAAAACCCCAAAATATTCTTAATTCCGGAATAAGTCAAAGTTATATCAAGTGCATGTGGGTGGACAAGCATCATTGGACAATGTGTTTGTACACAGAGTTCACACTCTGGGTAGAATTACTAGTATTACTCCGAGATGAACAAAAAAAACAGATTAAAGAATACGCAAAGAATGAAATGATACAGTACAGAAGCACGGTAAAGGCCTAGTGAAGGTGGAATCAACTTATGTAACTAATTCAGAAAGTTTGTTTAGCTATTTTTACTGTTAACAATACAGTTAGAAAAGTGCAGACACAATAATTAAAGTAACGAATACAGTTTTATTTTTTCATTAAAAACGGAAAACATTGAGTCGTTTTTATAAGTGAGACTTTATGTTTAAATAATGTAGATGAGAGTAACCTGAAGAAAGTAACAGACATTTTGTAAATAAAGTAGTATTTGACTCTCGTACAAAATACCAATCAGTATAACTGTACTAATTGCCAAAGGGCAACAGATGAAATAGATGGTTCAGGTAATTTGCCAATCGGTACCTTTTTGGAAAGTACTTAAGTACACCAAAGTATAAAAAAGATAAAAAATTAAAGTCTGAGGCATAATGGGCATTTAACGATAAGTTTCTGCACCAGATAAAGCCACACTATAATGGATCCGTACAGTGTAATCGGCCACCTTTTAGAACTCATCATTATAACCATAATGTAGGGAAATTCCTTGGACTACACCGGTTACTTACCAGAAAATGTTGTTCTAAGATGACGCTACATTAGTTTCTTTAATTAGAGGTTATATAGATTTATATATAAATAATCTACATGACCTTGGTCACTGGGCTACTCAATACTTCCCTGTTAGTTTACGGCACCTATTTTTATTAAATCACATCAACTTGTTCTGAAAAATAACGTATTTTATTTCAATGGTAGATATTATGTGCAGCGATGGTCCAACATATTCTACTTAAAATCTTGCATATCTAGAGAAAACACTAGTACGAAAGAATAGCAACTTGAATATAAATGAAAAGGGCAAAGTTGTAGATGACTTTTTAATAATAATAAAAAAATAAAGCGAAAAAGGTTCTATCGAACAGTTTTAATTCCTCTATAATTATGTCTAAATGAACTTAGCCACATTTAAACATTTTTGGAAGGAAATGAAATGCAATTTTTTTTAACAAAAATCAATTTAAGTGATGTATGAAAATTATTTGTTAAGAAAACATAATATATCCAATCATTTGTGACAAATTTATATTGGTCAAACAAACAATCGAACTTCTACTTCTACATCATACTGCTTAACAATCAATTCTGATTATGACTAGCTGGCGCGTTGTCAGGGAACTGTTAATAAAAGAAATTATTTATATGCAAATTTAAAAAGTTAAAAGAATATAAGTTCTACAATTTAAAAGACATAGTGTGCAATTTAGAATTTATAGAATGGGTCAAGCCTCACAGTAAAGATGTTTAAACTGGGGTTAGACTGAACAGTTAGAGGAAGGCTATTCCAAAGACGTATGCTCCTAGGAAAGAAAGAATTTTGATGAGTAGGGTATCAGGTAGTTCAGATTTCTTGTTTGAGTAAGGTGTTGGTGGTCAACAAAAACAATGTTGTTTTGGTTTTTATACAAGCAGGTTACAGCACTGATGTTTCGACGCTGTTCAAGGGTTTGCCAATTAAGATCATTTATCATTTTTGAGACAACTACTTGTATAATCATAATCATTAAAAATATATCTAGCAGCTGATCTTTGGACTTGCTCTATCTTATAAATTAAGAATTTCTGCCAAGGATGCCAAACTATGGAGCAATATTCAACTTGAGGTTGAATTTTCGAGCGTTTGTAAAAACTATATGGCCATGGATGGAAAATAAGGAAAAGGCGGCAACAATTCTCCATTCCTCCACGGACTTTAATAGGTTACAATAAGCCTCTACTTAAGAAGTACATGTATAATAATAGACTCCGAAATTAAGAATATTTGGGTTTTCCCAGCCAATAAGCGTAACAGGTTGACTAATCTTTTGTGACGGGAAGTCCACCGTGAAGCTATAACGGTTAAAATTAGTTTGTACCTACAGATTAGCTAGGAAAAACCCAAATTTGCTAATAAACTATTGAATGACATGTAACGTACAGTTGGTGTGAGAAGAGAATATTTTTTTACCTATAACGAGATCCATTTGCATTTAAGGATTGAAAACAACAACCAGTATTTATTAATACTTTAGTGACAAATTACTACCCCATGGCATAAGCTTACCTCTGTATTCTACCACCACTGAAAATTACAGAAATATATATTTATGGAACGCCTGGACTGTCTTATGTTAAGAATGAATGATATACCTGGTTAACTGTCTTTCTGTAGAGTCCGAGATACAAAATGCTGGATGGAAATCCTAATGTGCTCAGTTATTGAAGTGCTATGTTGTGTGCCGACTGTATTTTATTCAGTCAAGTCAATGTATTGTCAGGTGCATTAGTCGTTCTGTTCAGTTCTTAAAACAAACAGGCATGTGGTAACACAATTATGTTGAGTTAAAAAGATATGTTGTTGGGTGTGACAGTTATTATGTTCGGTTATAATAATATGCTGTTTGGTGCTCTTCTCATCATGTTCAACCATGAAAATAAACAGTTGAGTGGTACTATAATTTTGTTTGGCTGAAGCAGTATATTATTGGGTGATACTTTTATTATTTTCAGTTGCAATGACATGCTGTTGGGTGTTTTATTCCTTCTGTTCAGTCGTGAAATAGAACTGTTAAATGGTACAATCATTATCTTAAATGGTACTATCATTATCTTGTGTGCTGATTATATCTTCTTCAGTCAAGTCAATGTGTTGTTCGGTGCAAAGGTCGTTATGTTCAGTGGTTTTTTGGTACTATCATTATGTTCAGTTCAGATGATAAACTGTTCGGTGCAGAGGTCATTATGTTCAATAGTGAACACAAACTGTTGTGTGATACCACAATTATGTTGGGTTCATTCGGATATTTTCGGGCAACAAGATGGGAGCGACTAATTTCCATAGGTCACGTCGAGGCTAATGACCACTAAATTGCCAAAACAATTTTCTTCCCTGTAAATATCATCGGGGGCTTAAGAACGTTATTTTCATAAATTGGACTTTTAAATACCCAATGGGTATTTTATTTAGTTAATTCAGGACTATACTATACTGTTACAGTCATAATGGGTACAGTATATAAAACTTAAAATATGGGTAAGGGTAGCCTGTTAAAGTCACACATGACCACCGTAAATAAAACTTAAAATTTATCTGTTTGGTAACCTATAAGAGTCACAAATGGACACAGCAAACGAAATTTAAAATATAAAACATCATATACAAGTAAGGGAACCCTATTTGAGTCACACATGGCCACAGTATATGGAGCATATAAGTAAGGTAGCCTATTAAAGTCACATATGGCCACAGCATATGCAACTTAAAATATATGTGTTGGTAACCCATTTTAGTCACACATAACCACAATAAATGGAACATAATATTTAAGTAAGGGAAACCTATTTGAGTCACACATGGCCACAGTATATGGAACATTAAATATAAGTAAGGGTAGCGCAATAAAGTCACACATACCCACATTATGAAGAAAATTCTATATAAGTAAGGGAAACCTAATTGAGTCACACTAGGCCAAAATATATGGAACATTATATTTAAGTAAGGGAAATCTATTTGAGTCACACATGACTAAAGTATATGGAACATTATATATAAGTAAGGGTAGCCTAATAAAATTAGACTCAAATACATTTCCCTGGCTTAAACATTATGTCTAATATATTGTGGCCATGTGTGACTCAATTAGGTTTCACTTACTTATATAGAATTGTCTTTATACTTTGGCCATGTTTGACTTTATTAGGCTACCCTTGCTTATATATAATGTTCCATTTACTGTGGTCATGTGTGTCTCAAATGGGATTTCCATACTTATATTTAACGTTCCATATACTGTGGCCATGTGTGACTCAAATAGGTTTGCCTTACTTGTATATTATGTTTCATATTTTAAATTTCGTTTGATGTGTCCACTTGTGAGTCTAAAAAGTTACCAACACATATTTTATGTTTTATTTACGGTAGTCATGTGTGACTTGAACAGGCTACCCTTACCCATATTTTAAAATTTATATACTGTGCCCATTATGACTGTAATAGTATA